AATCTTTTTCTTTTTTTCCTTTTTTTTTCTAAATTTCGTAGTTACCCTTTTGGGGGTTAGCTTTGAAATCCATTGCATAATTTTATTGAAAACGTTTTCATTTCCTCGTTCTACAGTTCACATATTCTGCTTGTCTTGAAGAATGTGTAATTTTTTCTTATCATTTCTTAGTCAACGAAGAAATGACACAACGCCTCTATAATAACACAAAGTTTCATCCTCGGAATGAATAAATACAATGGGAATATCATTCTGAATATGCTTCATATTTTTCCGTAAATTATCCTTTGCCTTGGAAAGCTTGTATGCAGACGTGTACGTTATTCTTTTTTTGTATCTAATTTTATCATCTTTATAAAGATTAAAATATACTACTCCCTTATAGGAGGTATATTATGCAAAATTCCTAATCGTGCAAAGCAAAAAGACGGTAGTCATATAAGAAGGAAGTAAAAAAAATTATACTTACATGGACGAGCAGACGCAATTATTCTGTCGATGGAAGTCATCCCTGATAGCGATATGAGGCCTCTAATGTTTTAATTTTTCTTGGACCCATCTGTCGATTTCCCTATCAATTACAATGTCCTTAATACTACATTTCCTCCCATGGACTGACCAATTCAATACACGGGAAGGTTGTTTTCATTAAAATTCTCATTATTACCAGCTGGGGCATCACATAAACTTTTCCTTGTTCCCTTATTTCTGTCGAATTTTCTGAATTTACTCTACCACATCGTATGGTATATTATCAAAACGCTTCGCGCTACCCTTTAAACTTCTCCGTCGATGGGATTCCCCGTGACCGTCTAATTCAGTTGCATATACTGAATATGTATTCTTATTAAATCGTTGTATCTAGCTGTCCTCGTTAATGCAATAATTTTTCCCATCTTTCGATACGGCCTTCTCGTTGTCCATTATATGTATGTTGTGTCTTAGGAATGAAAATCTTACATGTGAATTTAAACCATGAATTAAAATGATAATACCTGTTACGTTCTGCAATCGCCAAGTGTATGTCGTTGACGTTAAACCATCCCTATTCAGATATGAATCAATTTATGGCTTTCAATCGAGACAGCTACATTTTAAGACTGT